TGTTAAATAGATTCCTAAAATATTACTGGATTTTTAAATTACACATGCATTAATTTGAGATTCATCCTGACACTGCCAACTTTACAATATTGATTGTAAGTCATGAACATGCTCGAACTCTTAATGTGTTTTTGTTGTATTTTTTTTAACAATGTTCATTGTTTTATCCCTATAAAGCTTTACACATAATTTCTCACACCATTGAAAAACACTTTGATGATTTTTTTTGTTACCATACATTATCTGTGCTGTATTCTCTAGGATTGAAAATGAGTAGCAAAATGTCTGTAACTCAAGGCCATGTTCCCAGGGTGATGGTTCTCCTGGGGGCTTCAGGAGTCAGAAATAAGAGAGGCAGGTGAGGGAAAAGCCTTGATCAAATCTTAGTTCCTTTTACAGTAGTGCAGATCCATGTGAGACCTGAGCATGCTGTGCCAGCTCAAGGACAGCTACCAAGATTATATTACTTCCACTGCTGTGGTCAGCCATCCTCTGTACCCACTATTATCTTTTGGGAAGGATCTTGTGCCTTGAACAAGAAGTTCCTGCCTGTGTGGGCATGACCAGGCAGAACATGTGTCATTAGAAATGGCTCAATCTCAAGCCAGTATGACGTTAGATTGGGTGACACTTTTGGATTTACTGATTCATAGAAGATCTTCAGATTCACAGGTTCTGTTAACCTAGGTGACAGCAATTACAAGAGAGAGAGTCTGGTCTCAGGAACTAGAGGGAAGTTTTTGTTTGACTTTGTCATGGGCACACAGTTCTGTACATACATTGAGCTCTTATCATATAAGTACCATTAATAATTACCCCATCTTCAGATTTGAGGTCATGGATGGTCAGTGAGGCACATTGCCTGAACAGGAGCCAGATAATGAATCTCAAATTCTTGAGGGCCTAATATTTCCATGAAGCAAAATTTTAGGGGCAGCATCTGGTAAAAACTTATGCCCCCCAAAATTATAGAAAAAATGTAGCTGCTGGACCTACAGTAGGAGATAGTGACCTCCTGTTCAGAGACCTTAACACCAAGGAGCATTAGATCAGCACACATCTAGGCCAGGACTTTGCAAGGAAGTACAAAGAGTTCACATATAGCCTGGGGCCCAGCCTGCAACCCAAGATAACCAACTAAGGAGATACAGTTTTGTTTACCTTCCTAGGGACACTGCTCCTGAATCCAGAATTTAGTCACCACTGCAGCAGTTGAGGATAATGAGGAAAGGAATTGGGCTGTGGTGAAGATTCCCCAAAGTTCTGTTTCCTGAGTCCCTCTGCTGAGTTAGAGACACCCAAGACCTCTAATCCTTTCCATTACAATTATGGAAGCATGAACCCTTAATTCAAATTATTTTCCATCTCTCTGACTTCCTGGACCCTTCCTAAGGCATGATTCACACCCCTCTGGCATAAACTTAGTTTGTAGAATGTGTAGAGCTGGTGAAACTCTGATGTAGGAACCCCAGTCACTTGGGAGGATGAAGTTTCTAGTTTCTAAGGAACACCGAGCAGAAAACACCAGTTCATGAATCAGATACTGAATTAACAACTGTGGCCTTACCATGTGTCTCAGGCATAGGCCACAATGTGACCTGGGAGTCCCAGTCCACTTTGCACCATATTTCAAAGTCAATGTCAGCCTTTTTGATGGGCTGGGTGAGATTGGGTAGGCCTTTGTAAATGGGCTATGCAGAGACTCCAGTCTAGACTGAGTATCTACTTATACCTACTCATCTACCTTCTAAATTAAAAAAAAGCATGTAAATATAAACAAAACAGAACATTTATGTAAGCTTATGTACTCCCTGCTGAAATTATTTTGGTGCTTTAATGAAAAATAATCCAGTATTTGTCATGGTTCCTTATACTGAATCACTACTGGCAGAAAAAAGAAATTCAATGAGCATTAGCCATGGATAAATCAAATTTTGAACTTAAAGAATAATCTGAGGTCAAGCAGTCAGGAATATCAGGTTCTGGCTGAGAAAGTAAAAATTTTTGTCACTGTCTGAGCGAGACACTACCATGCAGACTGTACGAACCCAAAGAAGGGAGGTTTGTGTCTCACTTTCCTGCATCTTTGGAGTACTGTGTAGGCCTTAGAGATCCCATGCCATGTACTAAAATAATAGCCTCATCCTCATGCTGGAGCTCAGAGATGTGGAGAATCCCTACATTAACTGAGGCATCTTTGGATCTAGAGAAGAATATGAACAGCAGACCCCAACTCTGTACCAATATAATAGTACAGAAGATAAGGAGGATATCTCCCTGGCTTCTGCTGGTATCAATGTATCCTAAAATTGCCGGAGACCAGATCCAGGCAGGTTCAGGGTACCCCAAAGGTGGAGACGGCATCAGCAATTGCAGGGAAGAAGAAAGAGAGAGAGAGTCAGAAAGAAAGAGACTGAACTCCAGTCTAGTGCAGAAGCGATGTGTGTTATTGGGAATTACAATGGGTCTTTTATACACAAAGTCAGATGTGGGAGGGGCGTCCCCCACCCACCAGAAACCTTAATCCATGAAAACTTAATCAATGATTGCCTTTAAACCCTTTTCATATGATAATCTTAAAATCCCATAACAAAGGATAACCTAATCTGTGACTGACATATTCTATAAATCTTTTTCATCCTAAACTGATTGATTTTATGCCAAGTTAAACAATTCTATAGAAGTTTAAGTATTTACTTTACAAACAAAAGTGGCCCATCCCAGAATGTTTGGAATGTGGCCCAGTCCAAAGTTCACAGTGGGCTACCTACAAGTAACCCAGCTGCATTCTTTCAACAAAATGGCTATCTTCTAAAACTATATTCTACAATTTACACCTTCAATAAATCCTAAGATCATGATCCAGAAACCAGTGACCAACACTAAGGCTCTTAGATGTGACACGAGTTTGAATTATAAGTTGTGTGAAAGCCAAAACTGCAGTTTGAGGAAGAATGGGAGCAATGAGCTTCTAAAGTTAGCTTGTGTTCATCCCGGTCTCAGAGTTTTTATGTTTTGAGCTCACAGAGCTTAAACTGGTTAGTGCTGAGTAGAAAGGGGGAAGAAATGGGGTCAAATAGCTCCCTAACACATCCTAGTGGTCTCGAGGTCAACGGCCCTTCCTGATCCCTAACACTCAGTGGGCCTCCATGGCTGGCTCCCAACATAAAATCACCAACACTGAAGCCACTTCTAAGGGTGCAAGTGAATCTGGTTGATGCCCAGGAGATGCAAAGAGAGAGGTTGGCTGAGTCATCACAGGCTGAGAGAGAGAGCCTGCAAACAGAGATATACGTGGATTAAGAACTTCGCAAAACCTTCTGCATTCTCCCCACAGTACAACCTCCTTACATTGGACAGTCATTATATTTCCATGTCCTCTTAGCTGATGGGATATCTGAGACAGGTGTGCCTGACTCAAACAGAAGGACTGGCCCTAAACTTGTGAGCCCTGTCCTTACCTGAGAAGTGGGAGAGAAGCAGGAAGAGGAGCAGTCCCAGGCCATGGTGGAAACAGATATTTTGAGATTCAGAGATAAAGTGGGCTGCTCCAGGCCTCTCTTATTCCATCCAGTGGCCTCACAGTAGGGGAGTTATGGATACAGATGTATCCATCCACTGCCTTCCCTCATCCCTCCATTTATTCAGGACCTGGGGGCTGGTGGATGAGGGAGTCTGACAGGTAGAACCTTGGAGGAGGCCAGTGCTGGCACCACACCCATAGGATACAATTGCTGTGTCTGCCTCAGTGAGTACGGTTCCACTGCCCAACCCTAGGGACCTTGGAGTGTGGTGCAACTGTGGGCCCTACTATGCAGACTCTCAGGCAGACCCACAGTGCCCCTGTTGCTCACTGGACAGACTTCAGTTTCTCAGTAGGAATTCTGTTAATGTTGTCACATGAGTGCCTGGTTACTGTCAGTCCACAGTTCCACAGGCCACGCTCTTACTTTTTCCTACGATATGTAGTGTTAATAAACAACCAGTGGAGACTTCTGAACGCCTAAGAGGACATGTGGAAAAATGATGACTGTTGAAAGTAAGGAGGCTGCTGTGAGGAGAGAATGCAGAAGGTTCTGGGAAGTCGAGGCCAGAGCAACTTCTTCCACAGGGACCAAGGAAGGGAGATGACTGTGACCTGGCTGTGAGTAAAGTACAGTGTCCTGTTGGGGAATAGACAACATTCCAGGAGAGATTTTAAGAATCTGGAAAATACTTAGGAATTTTAAGTAATATATTGAGACCATATGTACAGAGTACATAATTACAGGAGCTTTGAGCACATGAGGTGGAAGTGGCAAGACATGAAAGGGTATTTGAATCCAGACTGCAGAGGTCCTTATGTGTTAGGATGAGGGAATTGAATGTATTCATCATCTGAGGTTTCCAGAGATTATCGACAGGAGACAGGACAGATGAAACTGACACTTTAGAAGACACCCCTAGTGTCAGATTCAACAAGAAGCCTAAAGGCAGCAGAGCAGGAAGCATGTCAGGAGAGTTGAAAGCTGATCCCAGTGATCTGGAGGAAGATGAGAGTGAGTCATCTATTCTAGGCAACATTCCTAATCCATTTGTGGACAATCACAGAAACTCACAGCCTTCGGGAGATTGCCTTAAATAAAATCAGGAGCAGGAATATGCACATTTTCCACTGTGACACCATGAATCTCAGAACCAACTTCATGGACTTTGTGGAGACCACTCTCACTCCTAACCTCAATGTTGTCCTAAGACATGGACATAGGCACACAGCAAATTCACATGTGCAGGCACTTGGGATGAAGAAGAGTATTCCCCCCTGAGATGCCTGCCTGTGTTGCCACGACCAGGCTGAGATGTTTTATACTAATAATTCAGTATAATAGTTGCTTGGATAGAAGGTCACAGATCCAGGGACAGGCTTCAAATTATTGATCCTGGAGGGAGAAATGACTGCAGGAATTTCCTCTGAGTCTGGAATTGATCTCAGGAGTTGAGAGCAGGTTTGTGGGTTAGGATTAGTGATGCTCAGCTTCTTCCTGAATTGGAAGCAACAGCTGTGGAGGCAGGATGCCCTGGAGAAGAAAAACATAAAGTCTAGGTCCCAGATGAGCATGGTTGTTTCAATGAGTCCAGAGTTAAGATGAGACATTTCTGGTGCTGATGTTACAAAGTCATACTGCTCTATGCAGTGCTGTTGCTTCTTTCAGGTCTGTAGATGTTGGCTTCTATCCGGGTATCAAGTCCCTGCAGGTGGCTAGACAATCAAAGAGAGATGCAGAGATCTGAGAGTACAGGGTAGGGTCCCTCAGGTTGGCAGACATGGGGAGAGATTACTGCTGGTGACTCAGGAGCCTGGATCTGGATCATGTGTCAAAATAATGAAGAAGAGGGACCCAGTGCAGGTGGGCACAGCCTATAACTCTACTCCATACAACCCAAGGGAAAGGCAGAGTAATCTCAAGTTTATTAAACATATGATGCCCAAAGTAACTGCAGGAGCCCTTTATCCATACTTACATCCTACTCTCTGCCTTTCTGGCACTTTGCTGGCTCCTGTTCCTTTGAACTGTCATTGATCAGTGGTGGGGGATGGGGATCATATCCTGGGACCCACAAAGAACCAGAGAGTCAGAATCACAAAGAAGTCAAGTTTAGGGAATAAAATATTTATCCAACAAGCACGACTGCTCACTATACACATCCATAAGATGATTTCACCAATTTCCCCATGAGTAATGGGGGTATTTCCTCACTCTTTCTGGCAGGCAAAGGCAAAAAATGAAGGTGACCTATAATTTTGTAAGAATGACCTTCAAATTCACTACACAAGAATTTATGGAAGTGGGTTCCATTTTATGTCACACAGGTGTATGCATCAGGGGACAGTAAAATCTCAGTTCAGCAGCATGCAGCCCTAGGCCTGCTGCATCACACTCTTCACATCAGCCTCAGAGCAACGTGCCTTGTACCTGGTTTGTCCTCTTCCCTGACTAAAGATTTTCTCTCTTATCTCACCTTGTCTGGTTTCCCTCACCTCAAATCAACATTCTGCACCTTCCTAACCTCAGATAAAAGCAGGTTAGGTGGATCCCATTCAATATTCTCTCAGAAATAAATTCTGCTTACATTTGTTTCTATACTTTTCAAGCCAAGCTGGGCTTGTCAAAAATCAACATCTTTTAGCCTTCTCCAATATCTCTATTGAGATTATTTTTATCTGTAACAGGTAATTTCTGCCTGCAAAACTTGAACAGGATAAGAGGGTTGAACAATACCTCAATCTGAAAATTGAGCTGAGAAAATTATACAACACTGTCAGATTTACTTGTCTGAAGAAAATCAGGTGTTAGTTGAAGAGGTGACAACCTAAGACATTCCGTGAGCTAGAGTCACCAGCAAGGGTGATTGCACAAAACCCAGAGAACAGAAGAGAAGTTTTAGTCTCACTTCCTTGTGAGTCTGTAGCACTGTGTGAGTCTTAGAGTTGCCATGCCATGTAGTACAGTAATAGTCAGCCTCATCCTCAGGCTGGAGTCCAGAGATGTGCAGAATTCCCGCATTGGCTGAAGCATCTTTGGATCCAGAGAAGCGGCTAGGGACCCCAGAGCCTTGGCCCTTATCTGAGTCGGAGTAGTAGTACAGGAGATACGAGGGAGGGTTCCCTGGCTTCTGCTGGTACCAACTCATCCAGAAGTTACCAACACTAAAGCCACTGCTCAGGGTGCAGGTGATTCGGACAGATGCTCCCTGGGATGCAGAGAAGGAGGGTGGCTGAGTCAGCACAGGCTGGGAGAAGGAACCTGCAAACAAGACAGTCATCAGCCACGGAGCAGAAACCAGGGTTAATTAAGGTGCTTGGTCATCTGATCTGGAGAAGGATGACACCGGTTCAAGAGCTAATCTTGGACAACTGAGGTATGTCCCTACCTGTGCAATGAGACAGGAACACAAGAAGGAGAGGGGTCCAGGCCATGGTGGTCTCAGACCTCCAGAAACCCAAGTGCTGATGAGCTGTCCATGCCTCTTTTATCTTCTTCACTTGCCTTGAAGAAGAAGGCTGTTTATGCAAATTTATTTGACACCCTGGTGATTTCTGTTTCATCTGGGAACCAGCTGAGGTCTGTGTTTGGCCCTTTGGACAAAGGGTCTGAGAGATGAGACAGAATTTTCCCCATGGGAGGCACCAGGAGGAAGCAACTGCTGAGACCTACCACAGACGTACCACAGACCTACCAGTAGACGCTGCTCAGCTCAAAGGTCTCAGCTACTTAGTGCTCATAAACAACACAAATATTAATGCCCCAGCCCTGGGGCATTTGGTTGGGGGGTTGGCACAGCTGTGTACCCCATTGTGCAGGCACTGAGATGGAATCACAGTGCCCTCTGCCGCTCACTGGCCAGATTTCAGTCTTAGAGGAAATAAGGTTAGGGACCTTGGCCAGAGATCCTAGTCATTCTTAATCCAAAGACACTTATAAACCACATCCCTGGAAAGGACTGAAGTTACAGATATTAATAAACAACTTTTTTCCAATGAGGTTTTCTTGATTATTAGGAGAATTACATGGGAAATATACGACCACCCAATATGTGGAGACTGAAGCAAAAGACGAATACAAAGGACTCTGAAAGTAGAACCTGAGCAACTCCTTCCACAGTGGCCAGGTTGGGAGGCAACTGTTACTTGGGTCTGAGCAGAGAGTGGAGTCCTTCTTCAGAACCAGGAAAGCACAACATATTCCTAGGGGAGACATATAATTTTAAAATAAGTCACATATATGTAATGGCAAGTAAAAGGTTTGGCAAAAATAATTCACTTGACAGTAGGAACCATTGAGGAAGTAGATTGGAAGTGGAAAGGCAGGAAAGCACAGTTGAATCCAGATAGCACAGGTCTCTGTGTCAGAATGAGGGGATGCCTTTAGTGAAATTATTAATTTTATGGAACTGTTCAAGATTCTAAACAGGACACAGAATGTATAAAACTGAAACTTTAGAAAAAGATGCCTGGTGTTACATTCAAAGAACTTGAAGGCAACCGATCATGGAGGGCTGATTCCCCATATCTGAAGGGAAAAAAAGAAAAAGGAAAATACATACAAGTGAAGGATTCTCAAGATGAAGGACTCCTGAGGTGACTGTGTCCCTGGACAGAGGATGAAGAAGGAGACATGGGAGTGACGCTGAGGGTTGTAATTGGGCTGACCAGGAGGGTTTTAATACACTGACCATAGTGCAGAATAAGAGAGTGGGGGACACTAGCTGAGTGCAGATAAAGAGGCTTTGTGTTTTATTTGTAAAATTTGATGTATGGAAAACCAGTGGAAACAGGAACATGGTATGAGACATCAGGGCTCATGTGACCATTTGAAGTACTGTGACGGGAGGGTCTGCACATACAGCACATCAGTCCCAGGAAAAGTGTGGACATAATAAGTAAATGAGTAAGGATAGATCACAGGAGGCACCCCTGTTCACAGAATAAAGAGAACAAGTATAAAATCAATTCAAAATAAATAAGGGAATCCCTCAAATATAGGTTCATATGTTTTTTAGCATTGAATGTGACATATGTTAATTGCTATAAAGACATAGTCATTAAGCAACTCTTCAAATTTGGGCCGACAGTGCGGTTGAATTGGCTTTACACTGACTTATTTGCACTTCTTTTCTGTTTATATATTCAATTATTAAGAGAGCTTATTGGACCCTGTGAAGATGGCAGCAGAGCCAGTTTGACTATGGGCGTCCCTGTGTGAGTTAGTGAATGTATGAATAACTTTGTGTGGGTGTCTGTTAGTAAGTGGGCTTGTGAGTGGCTGACTGTTTGGGGACTCGGAGCAGGTGACCAGGGCTCTCCTGGTGAAGCTACTGATGCTGCAGCTATTCTGCTTGAACCCTAGTACTTCCTTGGGCATAGAAGCTGAGTGTAATTTTTTTAAAAATCAACAAAACCTTTCCTAGGATGAAGCACCAGGTGGGACTGCCGGCTCCAGGCTCTGCCCCACCACCACAGTGCCTGACCAGAAACTGGCAGCAAGTGCTGTGGAAGGAGCGCATCAAGGGAGCCAGAGGCAGAGCTCCTCTGGAGAAGACAAAGCAGGCCCTCCACCACCATCTTGAAAATTGAGCAAGGTACTGCCCTGTCCATCCCACCAAGGAGCCAGACGCTATCTCTGTGACCAGTGGGTTAATTACTCTGGGGTCAATTGTGACCCAAAAGAAACATCCTGAAAACAAAATTTGGAGGGAAAGGAGTGCAGAGTCTCATGTGCCCCACCCCCAATCCTGATTCAGCATTGGGACAAAGGCTGCAAGCTGAAAAGAATGAGGACAACTCCCCCAAGAGATGAGTAGTGAGTCCTGTGTTTACCGAATCTCCTCCTCCCTGTAATCTTCTGAATATCAGATCAACAAGACTGGGGCACAACTGAGAGGGACTAATGCAAGTGGAGCCTGACATCAGCCACAATAGGAGGACACTACTCCAAGATAAACCTGGATTTGGTGCCCCCATTGGTACCTGGGTAGGAGGATCACCTATCCACCCGAGGGGATCCTCCTGACCATATAGGAGTGGGAGGGGAGTACTGAAGCCCATCCATCCCCAATGCCTCCCTCCTTCTTCCCTGGGCCAGGTGTACTGGGGAGATTGTAAATGAGGCTGCAGCTCTGCAGGAGACAACAGAGGGGCCCACCTGTGAGCAACTAAGAGGAACAATTACAGGACCTGCCACAAAGAGGGTGCTAAGTGGCCATAAAATATTTTTTTCTCTTTATTTGTATGTGACTATGTATGGAGAATTTTCTTTGCATTCCCCTCCCTCCTTTTATCTTTTTTTCTTTATTATTTTCTTTCTTTCTTCTTTTGTTTTTTGTTTTCTGTTTATGTGAATGATTGAGTGTCCATCTTTCAGTTTTCCTGTGTATGTGAATGATTGAGTGTCCATCTTTCAGGTTTTTTAGAGGGTTCAATTTGCATCCCCCCTTTTTTCTATTGTTTTCTTTTTTCTTCTTCTTTCATTCTGTAGCCTCATAGATGCATAGCCTATCCGAAGGGACAGGCAAGAATGGGCGATGGATAGGGAATACTTACAGTACACTTCAAACGAAAAAAATGTGGCAACCCCTGTGGATTAGATAGCATTTCCATTGTTCCCAATTATTTTCCTTTTGGCAACATAGAAACACTAAAGAAATGTGATATTTGAGTATTTATGGTGAAATGTGTATTGTAATGCTCAGTTATTTTTTTATCTCAGGGACTCCAAGGAAGATAACCAGATAATTGGTCAGTTCTGCAAAGAAAGAGGCCCCCATTTCCACCCATTGCTAAGAATCAAGGAAAGTCAATGTGCACAAGTGGCAGTCATGTGTACACTTAAAACCCAGACCAAAATAATTTGTAACCCTCCAAAGTGATTGAAATACAAAATAAATAAATAAAATGAATTTAAAAATTCTAAATCTCAAAAAAAAAATGAAATGGAGTTTATTTGGTTCAAAGTTTTAACCCTAAAATCTCAAACTATAGATTGTATGCTTAAAAGCTTAAACATTCTTGAAAGCAAAAAAACTCAGGAAATATTCAAGTATACATTTAATAAATAGCTATCAAATGCTTACTGTATCCCAGATGCTTGATAATATCTATTTAGCAATATATGGTCTAGTTAAGAAAACCGTATGAAATTTTTCTGTCTGCTTTATTACTTAACAAACATCTTTCTTGGAAAAGTTCCATTTTTGTTGTAAAATTTAAATGGATTGGAATGAATGTATTCTTCCGCACACAGTTATTTTCATATTCCAGTGTTGAAGGCTTCTGTTTCAGTTTCTAATACTAGGTAAGCTTTATTTTGTAAAGATCTTCTAAAATCCAGTCATGTCTCTGAATTCAAGTACAAATATTTAATTAATATCTGCTCAATGCCTAGAACTTTTCTCAAAATCATAAAGAAAATGAAATATTCACATTCAAACTTCTGAAGTCTTCTTTGGCTGACCAACCTGTACGTTGCTATATTTTTTAGGTTAAGTTTTCAAGCATTGTTCTTGCGGTTATTGATAAATAGATTATACCTCTCTTTAAATCATTGCTGGAACAATTTTACCTAGGAAAATAAAATGATTGGATCACTGAGTTTGTTTGATGTGGCTCTTAGAAACAGTGAGATTAAAATAAGAGTAGGGGGTAGGATCTGTAGCAAACCTTATGGTATATTGACAGTGATGATTTTTGCTAGAAGTTATACAACATTCCCACTCACCTGCATTATCTTTTGGTTGACTTTCAACAGTCCTCTGAGACCATTACCGTGTAATTTAGGATGTTTTCAAGAGGTCTTAAAAATCTAAAATGCAAAGTTTTTTTTCCATGTAAAACATGATGTCACCAAGAACATAGGTGAGCACAAAATCCACACTTTAATTTATATTTCTTTATTTTTTTCAAATTATTGCCTCTTTTGTGAAAATGTCAGCAATAAAGTGAAAAAAGCAAAATAAAACTAGAAAGATATTTATGTTAATAAAATGCATTAATTTAAGTAAGGCATTGTCTAGATAATGGATAAATTTTTGGCTGAGAGCAACTTCACCCACCATAGCTAGCTGTAAGAAATTCTAAAAGTATATCCTTAAGATGGCCCTTGGCAGTCATTCTGAATATGTATTTTAACATGCTCTTAATTGTCAATTGTGGATTAACTGATTATCTTGATGAATTGGTTTTATTATATTGTGGCCATGGAAGTTTATTATGACATAGGAAGTGGAAGTTGTAATTCTTGATCTGAACAGAGCATTAACATTGTATCTATGCCAGATAGAAAGAAGAAGGAATAGCTCAGTAAGTTCCATCAGTGATAAATCAGAAAGGGAAGAAAGATAATTTTATACTATTAAAAAAAGTCTACCTCACAGCGCATCTTCCATGGACGGAAAGAAATTTGAAGCATGAAAGAGCAAAAT